TCTGGGTTTCCCTAAGACTCCAACTGCCAGAAGTTGTCACAGGGAAATTGACCCGCTCTGCTCATTCCCTCTTAAGAATTTGGCATTTCACTGTCAGAGTCAGGCTACTGGGCTAAATAGGCCACTGGTCTGACCCAGTATGGTCACTCTTAGGGCATGTCTACACTAGGAAATTGTTTCGAAATAACTATTTTGAAATAGCGTGTCCACACGACAGGGAAGCCTCCAAATGAGTCCGAGGCAGGCTCCCTTAAAGAGGACGTGCTACCCTGACTGAGAGCCGCAGGAAACACTGGGGAGTAATTACTCTGAATGACTGTGGAGAGTGACGAGGAGTCCTATGTGGCACCTTATAGACTAACAGGGTTATTGGAGCACAAGCTTTCATGGGCAAAGACCCACTTCGTCAGATATATGCAGTGGAAATTCCAGAGGCAGGTATAAATATAAGTTAGTCTATAAGGTGCCACACAGGACTCCTCGTCGCTTTTGCAGATTCAGACTAACACGGCTACCCCTCTGATACTTAACACCATGCAAGGCACAGCATTTAGCCGTATGGAGTGGAAATCCATCAACCTCATGAAGAAACATATTTATACCTGCCTCTGGAATTTCCACTGCATATATCTGACGAAGTGGGTCTTTGCCCATGAAAGCTTGTGCTCCAATAACCCTGTTAGTCTATAAGGTGCCACATAGGACTCCTCGTCACTCTCCACAGTCATTTCTGATTCTGGAGAGCGATTATTTGGAAATAGCAGCAGTGGAGCATCCACACAACCGCTATTTCGAAATAAGCGCTATTCCCCGTGGAAAGCAGGAGTTGTTTCTTCAAAATAACCAGCCCGTTATTTCGAAATAGCGGGCTTGGTCATTGAACGCGCCGCTTGTTATTTCAAAATAACTCCCTAGGCTCTTCTCCTTTCCCTGTAGACTCACAAAGTGCTTAACTGATGTTAATGAAACCTTGTGACATTCCTGGGAGTCTCTCTCCCTGCCACAGGAATGCAGCCACCTCTGGAGTGGAACTCAGCCACTGATTAGCTCTGCCCAAGAGTTACAGACCCGAGGCGACAGAGAGCCCTGTATCCAACCGGAAGCAGCTGCGGGAAGTGCAAAATACACTTGCTTTTAAGGAAACTGCCAGCCAGGTGATCATTAACAACCACAAAGAGGCAGGAGTCCAGTTTTTTGTCTCACACCAAAGTCTGCCTCCGGCAGCACAACACACACTGACCTCACACTTGAGTACGGGCTGGAGGGAAGAGCGCTGCTTTCTCCCTCATCAGTGTATCCTTGTAGCCAAGAAGGCTAATGGCATATTAGGATGCATTAGGAGGAGCATGGCCAGCAGATCTAGAGAAGTGATTATTCCCCTTTATTCGGCTCTGGTGAGGCCACATCTGGAGTATTGTGTCCAGTTCTGGGCCCCCCACTGTAGAAAGGATGTGGTCACATTGGAGAGGGTCCAGCGGAAGGGGACCAAAATGAGGAGGGGGCTGGAGCACATGACCTACGAGGAGAGGCTGAGGGATTTGGGTTTGTTTAGTCTGCAGAAGAGAAGAGTGAGGGGGGATTTGAGAGCAGCCTTCAACTTCCTGAAGGGGGGTTCCAAAGAGGTTGGAGAGAGGCTGTTCTCAGTAGTGACAGATGGCAGAACAAGGAGCAATGGTCTCAAGTTGTGGTGGGCGAGGGCTAGGTTGGATATTAGGAAAAACTATTTCCCTAGGAAGGTGGTGAAGCACTGGGACGGGTTCCCTAGGGAGCTGGTGGAGTCTCCATCCCTAGAGGTGTTTAAGTCTCGGCTTGACAAAGCCCTGGCTGGGATGATTGAGTTGGGATTGGTCCTGCCTTGGGCAGGGGGCGGGACTTGATGACCTCCTGGGGGTTTCCTCCAGCTCTATGAGTCTATGATTCTAAGCCCCTTCCTGCAGATCTCCGCTCCGAAGCCTCCTAGCTGGACTTCTCCTGGGAGATCTGACGCAGCAACAGCAAAGGGAGAGAGGGGCCTAGCTCCCCAGCCAAGAGACTGGAGTTGCTTGGAGCCTGCATCATTTCTGCCCTAAGGATAATTCCCAGGGCCTGCCCATCAGGGAGCTTGTTACCAGTGAAACAGCCGAGTTCCCGGGGTGGCAGGGCAGCGTGGCAGCTGGGAGGTGTGAAAGCCACGGACCCCGGAATAGCGTCAGAGCTGCAAACGGAACATGTTGTGACAGAGCAGCTGGGGATTGCGGCTGTCCCGTGTCAAGCGGCTGGTCCCTAACCACCCGAATAGCTACCTCTCCCGAGGAACTCGTAGGACCCCCTCACGCCGGCATCTGAGCGTCTCCCTTGGAGTCCAGCCCCCCAGCTCACCTGGGAAGCAGTGCAGGTTAAGTTCCTCCCCCGAGGTGGCAGAGGAAGCTTGTGACTGGACTGGGAAAGTCTCCTGAGCCCTCGTCTATGCTCTACCCACTAGACTTTCCTGCCTTCCTCTCCCTTCCTGTTTGGACATCACCCCTGTAACAACAATGTCCTGAGGCCATCTCTGTGATAAGCTGCATTTGTTGCACCTCCCAACTTGTCTATTTCTAGCATCCTATCACTTTACAGCCAGCCATATACTTCCTAGATGTTCCTACAACGGAGTTGTCATGCCCCGAACTTCCGTACAGCCAGGTGGCCAGATCCTTCTCTGGGGATTTGTGCAACATTCCTTGTGAATTTCACCCTTTCCTTCGCGTTCGCTCTATTTTAGAGTGCGTCTGTCTGTCTGTGCATCTGTCTGCGAGTCCATTTGTTCAGGCGCTCCTCCTAAGCGGCAAGAGCGAGGCAGGAAGCTTCCTGGTCTCCGAACATAAAGCAAGGGCAGGGTTTGGTGGTGCCAGGCCAACCGGAAGCCCCGGGAAAAGGACTGTTTTCCATAACATTCAAAGGGAGGGGCTGTGGCTTGGAGGGATGTAATAGGAGAGTGGCCACCGGGGGCAGCGAGCCTGCAGGGGAGAGCTCTCCTGCAGTGGCTGCACCACCAAGGAAATGGCCAGCAGGGCTGGGACTCCGCCATCTCACCAGGTAAGTAGCTCCCTGCCCCAAACCCTTTCCCCCGCTCCCAGCCCTTAGCCACAGCCCCAGGGTATGTCTACACTACCCCGCTAGTTCGAACTAGGAGGGTAATGTATGCATACCGCACTTGCTAATGAAGCCCGGGATTTGAATTTCCCGGGCTTCATTAACATAAGCGGGGAGCCGCCATTTTTAAATCCCCGCTGCTTCGAACCCCGTGTAGCACGGCTACACGGGGCTCGAACTAGGTAGTTCGGACTAGGGTCCTAATCCGAACTACCGTTACTCCTGGTGAAACGAGGTGTACCGGTAGTTCGGAATAGGCTTCATTAGCAAGTGCGGTATGCATACATTACCCTCCTAGTTCGAACTAGCGGGGTAGTGTAGACAAGAAAAGGCACCTTGCAGTGGGGAGACTGGGAAAAGAAAAGACACCCTTTGACAGCTGGAGAGAAAAGGCCCATGCCAGAGGGAACCTCCCCACCCTGAATCTCTCTTCCCCCCACCCTCACTCTCACCCCCCCACCCTGGTGCACTCCCACATCCCCAAAGCCTTGCCCTGAGTCCTGCACCCCCCACACTGCCAGCCCCCTGCCCTGAAGGACCCAGGCAATGCCGGGCAAGTCTGCTAGTATATGTATATTGGGGACTCTTCCAGACAGGGGGAGCAGCAAACTGCAAACCTGTGGAACTCCTTGCCAGAGGATGTTGTGAAGACCAGGATTTCAAAGTGTTCCAAAAAGAGCTAGATAAATTCATGGAGGGCAGGTCCATCAATGGCTATGAGCCAGCATAGGCTGGAGTGGTGTCCTTACCTCTGTTTGCCAGAGGCTGGGAGTGGGTGACGGGAGGATGTGAGACTGCAGGGGTAGCAAACCACAAGGCAGGGAGGCTGGTTGGTGGGCAGGCAAAGGGGGGAGAAAGGCTCACCCACCCACTGTGCACAGACACGCACATGAGAAAAGATTGAGAAACCTGATCTCAGAGGAAAAGTTTAAAAAACGGGGCCCATTTCATCTTGGGCAAAGGAGACTGTGTGTGTGTGGGGGGGGGACACCTGACCAGCCTGCAGATAAGTTGCAGGAAGGCCAGGGACCAATTGTTCTCCACGGCCACGGAACAGAGGACAAGACGTGATGGGCGATATCTGCCACAAGGGAGATTTCGGTCAGATATTAGGACAAACTTCCTAACTCCCAGGGGGCTGGAGACTTTCCAAGAACAGGCCCTGTCAGGGAGAGTCCAGGTTTCTTCGGTCCTGCCTCAGTGCAGGGAGCTGGAGCGAGGTCCCCTCCAGCCCCTCATTGTCTCTCTCTCCACACACGTAGACCGAACACACAAACGATCCACCCAGCCCCATGGACCTCGGGGCTCCTGCACTGAGCAGACAGCATGTTCTCCCTCCGTCCCCCGAGGTCCACAGTTTGCACAGTGCCTAGACCTCTGCTCTGGTATATATCCAGCAAATCATAACTCCGAGCCCTGGGATACTGGCACCCACACGGGACGCAGGATTTCCCCGATACTCGATGAAAGCATTGCTTGATACCCCATCTCCAGCTGCAGCCAGCGCCTAGTGTGCAGAAGCCTCCCCCAAAACCCTCCACAATGCACCTCACACACAGCCCTGAGCTCACCACACCTGCTGGGCATGGCCCCCGGAGCACGGGGGGCCCCTCCCGTGGGGCACCTCAGGCCCAGCTGGGAGGGGATCAAAACCCTTCATGGTTCACCACGCTCCTGGGGTGAGATGGCAGGGCTGTGAATTCCTTCCTGACCTCGCCCAGGCAGCGCATGCCCTGAAGCATGAGGATCCTTGAGTCATCACCTCCCCCACCTGTCGCTAGGAAACAGCTGCCAGTGGCAACCAGAATGTCCCGGGCCCCCCTCCCATTGTAAGGGACCCCTAAGCCCCTCTTAACCCTTCATGCACTCGGAGAAGTTGGGTTACTCACTGCTTTGCTCCTCGAGAGACATCTTCGACTGCTTCAGTTCGGGGTCCCTGTAGCCCTCTTCATCCAGTCTGCTCCCCAGCCCCTCCTCATAGTCCTCCTAGGGAGAGGAGGGAGAGCGCCCGTCATGGCACCACGGCTTGGGCAGCGGCATCCCTGGGCACAAGGTCTGAGCCACAGTGCCATGTCCCTTCAGGGACACAGAGGGTTCCTCGGATGTGACAACCCTGTGGGCACCGTAGCCCGGGGTGGAGCAGGGTCTGTGCGAGGATTCCCCGTGGGGGGATGGGAGCCCAGGGTGGAGCAGGGTCTGTGCGAGGATTCCCCGTGGGGGATGGGAGCCCAGGGTCTGTGCAGGGATTTCCCGAGGTGGGGGGATTGCAGGGATTCCCCGAGGTGGGGGGATGGTAGCCCAGGGTCTGTGCAGGGATTCCCCCAGTGGGGGGGATGGTAGCCCAGGGTCTGTGCAGGGATTCCCCGAGGTGGGGGGATGGTAGCCCAGGGTCTGTGCAGGGATTCCCCTGAGTGAAGCAGGCTGGGCTGGCCGGAGCAGAGATACCGCCTGGCTCAGCGTTTCCACTACCTGGTCTGGCCCCTCCATGGGTGTTTGGCTCATTGTCCCTCGCTTGGTCCCACAATCAGCCTGGAGGCAGCATCCCCCGTGCGGCCCAGATCTCTGCAAATGGAAAGGGAAGCAGCGCCTGTCAGGATGGGCAGGAACCGCGCAGGGTGGGTCTGGTATGGCAGCTCCCCCCGCCCCCGACACGGCTCCCGGCGGGATCCCCACACAGCCCTGCCCAATGTCCGACTGTCGGGCTCATTTATGGCCGCCCCTGCTTCTCCGGAGACGTGGCTCGCGCCGGGATCGCCTGACAGCCGAGGATCCAGGTCTCGTCAGCAGCCCCAGGGCTGGCTTGGGCAGGAGGGGCAAACAGAGCCGGGACTCAGTTCCGGGCATTTCCATGGCTCTGAGTGTGACACCAGGCACTGCCCCAGGACCGGGTTTCCAAAAGTGCTGTGCACCCAACCCCAGGGGACATCAGCCCTTCTCAGGCCTGGGAAATTCCCGTCTGTGCAGTGGGAATAATAACCCAGTAGCAGCCCCAGGGCTGGCTTGGGCAGGAGGGGCAAACAGAGCCGGGACTCAGTTCCGGGCATTTCCATGGCTCTGAGTGTGACACCAGGCACTGCCCCAGGACCGGGTTTCCAAAAGTGCTGTGCACCCAACCCCAGGGGACATCAGCCCTTCTCAGGCCTGGGAAATTCCCGTCTGTGCAGTGGGAATAATAACCCAGTGTTGCTCTCATTAGCCTATCTAGCCCAGATCTTCAAAGCTACTGAGGTGCATAATTCCCAGTGATTCCTATGGGATTTAGGCGCCCAATACCTCTGAGGATCTGAGCTAAGCTCCGTCAGTTGGCCTGTGCAGCACCAGGCCCTGATCTTAGCTGGAGCCTCAAGGGATTTTTGGAACAGCACTCTGCACCGTAGCCAGGGCCAGCGGTGAGCGCCACAGGAAATGCATCAGGACCTGGTGCCATCTGTCCATCCCCACTACTTGCCACCCACAGGGCAGATGGTGCTTGTGTTTCCATCTGAGCTCTCTGGGCTACTGGGACCGGCTTATTTTGAGGTTTGCAATGAGCACGCTGCAGGGGTGTCATGTCGCTGCGCCGCGCTCCGCCGCACACGGGATTGATAAATGTAAAGTACTGCACGTTGGAAAAAACAATCCCAACTAGTAATACAATATGATGGGGAATCCCTTAGCTACGATTACTCCAGAGGGAGATCTTGGTGTCATTGAGGAGCATTCTCTGGAAACATCTCCTCAGTGTGCAGCGGCAGTCAAAAAGCAAACAGAATGTAAAAAGGGGATAGAGAATAAGACAGAGAACATCCTACAGCCCCTGTATAAAACCATGGTGCACCCACATCTCGAATACTGCATGCAGATGTGGTCGCCTCATCTCCAAAAAGATAGATTGGCATTGGAAAAGGTTCAGAAAAGGGCAATAAAAATGATGAGGGATTTGGAACGGATCCCATATGAAGAGAGATTAAAAAGACTGGGACTTTTCAGCTTAGAAAAGAGGAGACTGGGGGGGCGGGGGAAATAGGGTAGAAATCTATAAAATCATGCCTGGTGTGGAAAAAGCGAACAAAGGAAAGTTATTTACTTATTCCCACAATATAAGATCTAGGGCTCACCAAATGAAACTAACAGGCAGCTGGTTCAAAACAAACAAAAGGAAGCGTTTCTTCACTCAGTGCCCAGTTAACCTGTGGAACTCCTTGCCAGAGGATGTGGTGAAGACTAGGATTTTAACAGGGTTCAAAAAGCGCTATTAGCCAGGATGGCTAGGGATGGTGTCCCTGGCTGCTGCTTGTCTGTAAATGGGTGACAGGGGAGGGAGGGATCACGTGAGGGTTCCCTGTTGTGTTCCCTCCCTCCGGGGCACCTGGCATTGGCCCCTGTCGGCAGACAGGATGTTGGGTTGGATGGAACTTTGGGCTGAGCCAGTCTGGCCATTCGTATATTCTCATGGGAGCCCTTCACTCAGGTCACTCGCTCCCACCCCCAAATGCTGGGACCTTGCTCCGTTGATGGGGAGATGTTTGAGGTAACCGGGGGGGAAACGAGGTGCCAGGCTTTGCTCAGAGTCCCTCAGCGAGTCCCCCCGCAGGGCCAGTGCATCTCCCACCTTGGGCTACCGAGGGATTGAGTGCACTGAGGCAAGGAGGCTAGGCCATTGGCTTCAGAACCGGGGTCCAATTTAGAGTCAAATGAGGGCTTGGTTGTAGGCAGAGTGGCACTGGCCAAGTTTGAATCCCACGCCGAAGGCTGGGGGGGACAGTCCCACTTTGGTTTACACCAGGTTTATTTTATTCTGTTTAAGCAGCTGGGGAACAGGGCCATGCGAAAGGCTGTGTTCTACCCACACAGGAGGGTGCAGGCAGGTGTGCACCGGCTTCCCTAAACCCGTTGTTAAAAAGGATTTCCATTAAACTGGTGCCACTTCGGAGTCTGGAGAAGACCTGCCCAGCCCGGCCTGCGGCTCCATGCACCCTGAGTGACAGCGGAGTTTGGTTCCCCATTGGACACCACGTAAGAAGGGGGAGCCAGAGGTCCATCCAGATCCGGAGCCAGGCCTCCAGCTCATTTCTGTAACAGAGATTCCTAGAACCCACGATCCACCTCGCACACACACGCCAAAACACCTGGGAGCATTCGCGCCCCAAATCCTGCGCTCGCCTTGGCCCCTCGACACATTTTGTGAACTGAAGTCCGACCGCAGCGCTGGCTCCGAGCAACCTGTCTGTGAAGCCGGTTTCTTGGGAGCCCTGTTTCAGCACAGCTGGTTGAGGCGACAGGCTGCAGCCAGGCGCACACTGGGCGGACACCCTGCTCAACAGTGAGACTCGAACCGGAGACCCTCCGGTGCCTGCCACACGGCCCTCTAGTGTCTGAGCCAAAAGCAGAGCCCCGGGAGCCGCAGGTGAGTGCAGTAGCGGGGGTCAGCCACTAGGAGGCGACGCATGCTCACACTATGCCATTGCCTCACCCTTGCCTGAAGGCTGGGTCTTGGTGCAGCCTTTGCCAGATGTATCCAAGCCGCCATCACAGCTGGCTGGGCCCGATCCTGGAGCCTTCTACTTTGAAGAGCAGCCCCAGGGGCCCTAAGGATTATCAATAGCCCTGGACGCAGAGGGTGGATGATTTTTCAGAGCCGTCTTGCCCTGTAGGGCTCTGGGGACCCCAAGCATATGGCCAGTAGGAGGTTCCGGGTTGAAGAACTGGACTTCCCCACCTTGGTTCTCGCTACCAACCTATAGCAGCCTACAGGAGCAGTGAGGTGGGGGGCGTGCCCCCAGCCTGAGTCTGGAGTCTGAGTCCCTCTCACAGGATACTACAGATGACACTAGAGAAAGGACGTGGACGCATTGGAGAGGGTCCAGCGGAGGGCCCCAAAAATGACGAGGGGGCTGGAGCACGTGACCTGCGAGGAGAGGCTGAGGGAGTTGGGCGCAGTTAGTCTGCAGAAGAGAAGAGTGAGGGGGGATTTGAGAGCAGCCTGCAACTCCCTGAAGGAGGGTTAAAGAAGCAGGAGAGAGGCTGTTCTCAGTGGTGACGGGTGGCAGAACAAGGAGCAATGGGCTCACATTGCAGTGGGGAAGGTCTAGGTTGGAGATTAGGAAAAACTCTTTCCTTAAGCGGGTGGGGAAGCGCTGGGATGGGATCCCTAGAGAGGGGGTGGAATCTCCATCCCTAGAGGTTTTGAAGTTCCAGTTTGACACAGCCCTGGCTGGGTTGATTGAGTTGGGGTTGGTCCTGACTTGGGCTGGGGGCTGGACTCGGTGACTCCTGAGGGCTCTGCCCATTCTATGACTTGCAAGCTCTCTGCAGCCTCGTAGGGGAGCGGGCGGCCCCAGGGACCTCACAGACTCACTAGCCCAAGGATTCACTGTGGACGTGGCCAGCCTGCTAGGTGGCTGGTGAGCTAGAGGAGGAAGGGGCAGGAAAGCGTTTGGGTCCAGGCCAGGTGGCGCGACTGCGACAGGAGCCCCGGGTGCGGCTGGAGATCTGTCCCGTGCGAGCAGACAGGACCTGGGCCGTAGTGAACAGCAATGAGAGAGGAGCTCGCACGGTGACTAGAGTCTGGCCCAGGAGGGCCCGTCAGCCCCCAAGTGGGGCAGGAAGCTTGCTCTTGGGGCGCGCTTTGCGGCTGGGCCTGGAAATCCAGGGCGAGGGGCAGTTGCAGGGAGTCACTCAGACCGTGGCTCTTTGCTGTCTGAGCAGGCAGTGAGCCAGGGCCCGTGCTTGGTGCTAGGGCTGCCGTGCTGCTGGAGATGCCTTGCACGATGGTTAACGGTGCCCCAGCGGGTTTTCTTGTTGCCAGTGCGAGCAGTGCGACCCCTCAGCTCCACTTCTGCCTGCCCTAACCTCCCCCAGAGCCTTCATCTTTGCCCTGAAGCTCCCGCCTGGCCTGGCTGTGCCCTGTAGAACACGCCCCACCCCAGAGCTGGCTGCATGTCAGCAGGGGATGAAGCAAACTGCCTGCAAAGCGCTTGGGAGTAAAAGGCCCTTTAGGCACTTAGAGGAGGGGGACAGTCAACAGTGCACCCTTGTAGCCAAGAAGGCTAATGGCATATTAGGATGCATTAGGAGGAGCATTGGCAGCAGATCCAGAGATTTCATTATTCCCCTTTATTCGGCTCGGGTGAGGCCACATCTGGAGTATTGTGTCCAGTTCTGGGCCCCCCACTATAGAAAGGATGTGGATGCATTGGAGAGGGTCCAGTGGAGGGTGACCAAAATGATGAGGGAGCTGGAGCACATGACCTACGAGGAGAGGCTGAGGGAGTTGGGTCTATTTAGTCTGCAGAAGAGAAGAGTGAGGGGGGATTTGAGAGCAGCCTTCAACTTCCTGAAGGGGGGTTCCAAAGAGGATGGAGAGAGGCTGTTCTCAGTGGTGGCGGATGGCAGAACAAGGAGCAATGGGCTCAAGTTGCAGTGGGGGAGGTCCAGATTGGATATTAGGAAAAACTATTTCCCTAGGAGGGCGGTGAAGTGCTGGGACGGTTCCCTAGGGAGGGGGTGTTATCTCCATCCCTAGAGGTGTTTAAGTCTCGGCTTGACAAAGCCCTGGCTGGGTTGATTGAGTTGCGGTTGGTCCTGCCTTGGGCAGGGGCTGGACTTGATGACTCCTGAGGTCTCTTCCAGCTCTATGCTTCTATGAACAGCGACACGGTGTTGGCAGTTTCCCCAGGTATGGGGAGAGGAGGGGAGCTGTTGTGTTCTGCATCACACTGATAGTCCGTGGGCTGGTCCCCTCTGTGCAGCCAGCCTCCCCTCCCCTCCCTAACCCGAGGTATCGTCTATGTCCCCATTAGCCCAGTAGTAGCCCAGCTCCGGCAGCACCGTGCCACCTCGGGGAGACAGGCCAGTTCAACCCCAGCCGGAGCCGTGCCCAGCTGGATTGGGACAGGGTGAAAAAGCACAACAAGAACTGAACGCGGGAAAGAGCGGGGGAGTGGGGTGAGGGGGGAATAGCCCCTCCCATCTCCCACCTTCCCTCTCCGGCCTCGCCCCCCCCCCCCAGGCAGCTGCTGGACTGCCGGATGGCCCTTGATCCACCAAATGACACCGATGCCGCAGCGCGTTACAGCTGCACAGACTCTGTACCTGCCCCCGGCTCCAGCACCGAGGCCCACGGTGCAGAACCAGCACTGCAGGACGGATCAGCGTCCACAGCAGGGCCCCGTACGGCTCCCTCTGCAGCACAGAGCCTGGGAGTAGAAGGTCTGGCCCCTCGGGCCCTGCCTTTCTGGGCACCGCACTCACACGCCGCTGATCAACGTCCCCCCGGAGGAAACTCCACCATGGCCCCAGGCTGGGCCGGCTGCCAGAGAACCAGGGCTAAGCCAAGCCCCGCGGGGGCGAGTCAAGAACCACAGGGCATCTGCCAGCCCCTGAGAGCCACCGGCCCCTCGGATCCCCAAGCCCTAGGGGGAGGCCGGGCCACACGAGCTCAACACTTGTCTGGTTTTAGAGGGACACAACAGCAGGCCGCTGGGTGCGCTCAGCTGCCCCGTTCTCCCACAGAAGCCCAGCCCCGGCTGCTGTGCCAGCCAGACCTGCGGTCAGGGAGCCCATGCACAGGCTGTTCCTGCTGCCTCTGCTTCTCTGGCTACTCTGCTTTACCCGCCCGCAGGTGGGCTCTGTGACCCAGCCTGGCTCCCACATCCAGGAAGTCCCAGCCAGCACCTTCCCTGCAAGGCTGCCGAGACCCGGATCCAACAGGACACACGGGGGAGCGGTCGGGGGGGCCTGGCTCCAGCTGGCGTCTGGCTAGGATCAGGGGCTGGTCATTGGTGCGGTGACTCTGCAGCCCAGGATTTCGGGGCAGCCTCCAAACCCGTCCGCGTTCTTAGGGAGAACTCCCTGGAGACCATCTCCTCCCGAAGACATCCCGGCACGAGCCAGCCCAACTCCCTCCGGAGATACCGGGGAGCCGGAAACCGCTGCCCTCGTGGTCCTGCTCCCCCAACACCCCACTCCGCCCCTGGCGCCCAACAAAGGGACCTACCAGTGCCCGGTGGGATCCCGGGAAGCCTGCAACGCCTCACAGCTGGGCTCTCCTCCGGAGCCCCTGGCTCAGCTGTGGTAGCCTGCCCGCCGGGGAGACAGTAGAGACCTGAGCTCCAGCTGGAGGCGCTTCAAACGCCTGAGTCACGCTCACCTCCCTAATCTCACATGCCCACCAGCCCCGCGCACTGCCCTGCTGCTTGGAGATTCACCCCTACCGTGGCCCCGTAAACACCATTATCTGGAGAGGCCATCTTGTAGAACCAAGCCCGCCCCTCCCTACCCATGGCAATGGCCATCACCCTGCCCGGCCCCCCCACCCTGAGCCTCCATCTCTCTCCTACGCTACTAATTTCATTGACTTTTTGCAAATGAAGTTTCATGCCCAGGTTTTTTTTGGTGGGTCGTGTTGATGGCCTCGCTGGTGTCTTTGCAATATCTTGTTTACCAGTTTCTGGGGATTCCCTCTGGGGAATGCCCTGGGCGGTAGGACAGGAAACCCGTCTCAAACTTTATTAAAAAAAAAAAAAGTGCGTCTGGCGAGGCATCTCCCCAGCTGCTGTGATGTGACGCGTTGGAAGATCAAGGCTCTCAGCTCCCGCCGATTTCACCGCAGGGGTGTCTGTGTTTACCTGCCGCGTCTCTATCACTGTTATCCATGCGTAGGCCAGTGGCATGTGTGAGACCAAAGCATGTGCCCAGCATACTTGGCATCAGGCCGGGCGTTGAGAGGTCAGTGAGGCCTCACCGGCTAAGAGCAAAGGAAAAGCTCCCATTGACTTCAGTGGCCTTTGGGGGCAGGTGCCAGAGACATTGGGTGCGTTTGAAACATTCATTGGCACGACAGTGTTGTTTTCCCGTGCGGTACAGCCATGGATGCCAGGTATACGGGGGTAGAACATACCCAGCGTATTGCCAGACATCGCATCCTGGTACAGCACACCTGCCCTGTGGCTGAATGGTCCAGCCTCCTCCTGGTTGAACACACCTGCACAGCACACACGATCATAGACTCCTAGGGCCGGAAGAGACCTCAGGAGTCATCGAGTCCAGCCCCCTGCCCAAGGCAGGACCAATCCCAACTCAATCATCCCAGCCAGGGCTTTGTCAAGCCGAGACTTAAAAACCTCTAGGGATGGAGATTCCACCCCCTCCCTAGGGAACCCATCCCAGGGCTTCCCCACCCTCCTCATGAAATATCCAATATAATAGCTAACATCCAACCTAGACCTTCCCCACTGCATCTTGAGTCTATTGCTCTTCATTCTGCCCTCTGCCACCACTGAGAACAGCCTCTCTCCATCATCTTTGGAACCCCCCTTCAGGAAGTTGCAGGCTGCTCTAACATCCCCCCTCCGGGTATGTCTACACTACCCCGCTAGTTCGAACTAGGAGGGTAATGTAGGCATACCGCACTTGCAAATGAAGCCCGGGATTTGAATTTCCCGGGCTTCATTTGCATAAACCGGGCACCGCCATTTTTAAATCCCAGCTCATTCGAACCCCGTGCCGCACGGCTACACGCAGCACGGACTAGGTAGTTCGGACTAGGCTTCCTAGTCCGAACTACCGTTACTCCTCGAGGAGTGTCCATTTCCCCGTCAGTGAAAGCCTGGGGCTGGTGTGTGGTCCATGCTCGGTCAAACATGTATGGATCCTGCCTGGGGTGAGAAAGGCCCTGGTCTAGGAGCCAGGACTCCTGGATTCCAGCTAGGCCCTGCAGAACCTTGGAGAAATCATTTCCCCCTGCAAAACAGGGCCAGCATCCCCTCTCTTCCCCCCACTGCTGCCCGGCTCCTGGAGGCCAGTGGCTGAAAAGCATCAGCACGAATTGTTGGTGCTTTCACAGGCTGTCCCGGCTGCTCCTCGGAGGCGCACGAGACAGCAGAAAAAACGTGCTTCAGCCGCCCAGCTGTTCAGCAGCTGGTGCACAATCGACCCAGGCCCGGGCAGCCTGACGCGCATTCCCCCATCCACTGATTTGAAACCGCGCAGGCGCCTGGCGTCTGCGGAACGCGTCCCAAAGGCTACGAAGCAGCCCTCTGCTCCTTCCCGTCGATGTACAGCGACCCAGCCGCTAGGCCTATCTCTCACAGCCAGGAGAGCACGGCAGGATTGATACGGTGCATTTCAGCGGCTCACCCGGGGGGAGGGGTGGAGCGTGCGAGCTCAGTGCACAGGAGAGCCCGGGGGTGTGGCCCGGCTGTGTGCGCACGCCTTAAGTGCTGGAGCATAAGCTTTCGTGGGCAAAGACCCACTTCGTCAGTTGCAGATTCAGACTAACACGGCTACCCCTCTCATGCAATTTAAGTGCATGATTCCTTAAATCTTGTGTCGGATGTTCCGCGTTCAATGGCATTGCCTCCAATTTAAATCATTTTTAAAGAAGTGCTGAGAAAGGCGATGAAAGGGCCCTAGCGCCGTTCCCTGGTCTGAAAAACACAGCCCACTTGTACAGTGCGGTCAATTTTTGCATTTTGGCGAGACATCCCGTGCAGGCTTGTGCTGAACCCTTGGCTTATTTTTAAAAAGGTTTAAGTCACCAGTGAGCCATAAAATGAGAATATACTTTTCCTTTTGAGGAAGATTCCAGAGGAGTAGATTCTTTTCATAGAATGATAGAACACTAGAACTGGAAGGGACCTCGAGAGGTCATCGAGTTCAGCCCCCTACCCTCGCGGCAGGATCCAGCACCATCTAGACCGTCCCTGCTAGATGTCCAGCCAACCTGCTCTTAAATATCTCCAGAGATGGAGATTCCACAACCTCCCTGGGCAATTTATTCCAGTGTTTAACCACCCTGACAGTTGGGAAGTTTTTCCTAGTGTCCAAGCTAAACCTCCCTCGCTGCAGTTTAAGCCCATTGCTTCTGGTCCTGTCCTCAGAGGCCAGGAAGCACAAGTTTTTTCCCTCCTCCTTGTGACACTCTT